ATCATAAATAGTCATTTTTTCTTTTTTTATGATATGTTAATTTTTTTAGTATTATTGTATAAAAGTAAAACAAAGTAAAATTTTATTGCTGATTAAAAAAAAAAGAAAAGAAGTAAATTGTAATGATTATGAAATTTAATTATTGTTGTGAAAGAGCGGTTTCTCCTAACACAAGCAATCTTTGCTTAACAGGAGATACCAAACCCTGTAATGTAACTAACTACCTTTGTATAAAAAAATATATTTATTATTATTATTATTATTTATTCTGTATTATTTATTGCCTATAATTTTTTTATGCAATTTAGAACTGCAGACAAGCTGACGGCCTACGAAATAGTTATATTCGTACTTTCGTATATATATATATATATATATATATATATATGTCTCTGTGTGTGTATGTATATGTATTTATGTATGTAAATTTATTATGTTGTTAAAAATGACGCAAACAATCGGACAAACACTCAACACATAACTCAGCGTTTTACTCTGTAGCACTGAATTTAAATGGTTTAATATTTAATTGCATATCTAAAAATCAGTAAACAAAATAAACCAATTCAAACATATTTGAATTCAACCATTAATTTTGTATATTTCTAAAATAACAAAATAGTGGTTTTTGTTGAAAATAATTCTTTATGTGCATTACGGTTTTACCTACTCGTTGTTAATTAAATTAATATCAACTCTGGATGTTGATATGAGCAAAGCTGTGGCGAACGCATAGTAATTAATAATTTACATGCACTTAGCCCCTTCTCAGGCGTGGGTAGAATCCAAGCATAATATGAAATACAAAGTAGCACGCAAAACCAGTCTGAGATACGTATCTACATACAGTACAGGTGGAATTTCAAGACACAGGACCGTTCCTTGTAACCGTCTATCGGCGAGTTTATGTTTAGCATTTTTTTTTTGTTATACTTAAAATACAAACAACTAACAGTAATCTGATGGAAAGTACACTGTAAACCACATTTAACAACTCCATGGATGTCACAGAATATACTGTGACACTCATAACGCCTATCGTTACTATTCCTGAAGACTATATTATTATACCTCCATTCCCTGTAATATTACTGCCATATCCCACCTATATTTAGCAATTGAATGTATTTGCATATTTTTTTTAACTCATACTGACACACGGACACTGACTAACTGAATTCAGAGGCTCGTCTAAATAATAAAATTAGTGCAGACTAGAGATACATTTCAATATAAATTTTTAAACTAAATATATTTTTTTTTTTATACAACTTAGAATGGCAAACAAACTGACGGGCCATCTGATGGAAAGTGTTAACCGTCGCCTATAGACATGAGCAGTACCATGGACATAACAGAGTGTACTGTTTAGCCCATGTAACCCCTCCTGCGTTGCCATTCCTGAGGACTCGGGTGTTATTCCTCTGCACCCTGTAAATTCACGCCATATCCTACCCTTTAAACCGAAACACAGCCATGCAAACACAACTGCTTCAGGGTAGAAACACGAATGGAACAGAGGTACCCAAGCAATCGACTTTTGTACAAAGTCTCCCTCTGGTAAAATTAAAATATTGTATTTGTAACTGTAAACTGTTTTAGTATCTCGATTCATTAAATAGCGTGATTTAAGCTTTAAAAGTATAAGAATATTAAACAGAAATACATTTCAGTATGAATATAGCAACTGAGGGTATTTGAAAAATAAAATTTAAGCTTATATTGTTTTAATAGCTTAACTAAATGATTAAGACAGTGTAAACTAAGTTTTAAAAGTTTAAGATGGGATTAAACAGAAATACACTTCAGTATAAATGTAACAATTGTCTGAACATTCTATTTTAAGTTGTTCTGTTTTAATGACTTGACTAAATGATTTAAATAGTGTAAACTAAACAGATAGTACAGGTCAGTATTAGACAGAAATACACTTTAATACAAATTTTGCACTTGATAGTGAATGTATCTGAACGCAGATTTAGTGACTCGACTAAATGTTCAGAACAGTGTGAACTAAGTTTTAAAATTTGACAGGACTAAATGTAAATGCACTTCAATATAGACAAGCACTCGTATTGATAACTCTTACTCAATAGAAGCCAACTGTGGGCGCCCCTCATTAGTACAAGTCTAGACCTGTCTTAGTACGCTTCACGAAACAAGTTCACCTCACAGCGAGACTTTATCTCCGTCAGTGGGCCGCAGGTGTATTCTATGCAACCCTTGTCCCCCCCTACACCCTCCCACCGGCCTTAACATCGTACGATAACACACGCTGTCACATCTCTTGATGAATTGCTTATTAGATTGTCGGCAGAGTCAGTGTGTTTTGCACTTATTTTCACGTCAATATCGCCGTCTCTTTTTTCCGATAGGTAGCAAATTTATGGAGCCGGAGTATTGGTGCGTTTACCCTATTAAGTTATTAGGTTTTTGTCGTCAGTGGCGCGTTCGTTTGATTTGAAATAGAAATAAACAAGTCGGACTTACATATTTCAATGCATTTTATACCTGTATATAAAAATATATTAAAATAATTCATAGCTCTACTATTATTTTTACTGCTGTTAAATAATAAAGTTACTGCTTTATTATATACTAGCTTTTACCCGCGACCTCGTCTGCGTGACCGAAATATGTTTACTGACTGGAATAAAATGTGGTCTAATATCCTTCTCCATCCTATGTAGTATGTGTGTAAGCGCTATATGGTAACAAATAAACTTACTTTCACATTAATAATATTAGTAAGTAGTTAGTAATTGTTATTCCTGCTGCCGTTATACGAGGTTTGTCCGGAAAGTACGTATAAAAGTTTTTATTTTATTTTACAATTATTCATAAATCAATTTTATCCCCTTCAAAGTACTCCCCCTGTGACATAATGCACTTGTGCCAACGCCGTTTCCACTGTGAGAAGGCTCCTTGAAAGTCCTCTGGTTGTAGGTTTCTCAGCTGCCCCGTCGTAGCTTTTTTATCTCATTTATGTTTGGGAACAAGAAGAAGTACACGGGGCCAAATCCGGCGATATGTTCGGTCACCGTATTTTTTACTCATTATATTGTCGTGGTGAAGAATCTTTTCTTCGTGCCACACGAGCTTTGAGGCGTCTGAGCACATCGACGTAGAATTTTCCATCAACAATTAACAATTGAAAAAAACAATCAACATTGTCTTGACATATTTTCTTGATTTTTTTGTTCTGGTTCCCCGGATGCTTCCACTCTTTGCTTTCACGCCGCCGAGTTAGAGAAACTACGACGCGCTGCATATACGGGGTTTCGTTATTCCATATATATGAAGCATTGTTAGGGACATTTTTACCTGGCCTCCCCAATATTCCAGAACACTTTTATACAATTTCACAATATACGTATTTCTATATATACTTTTTTAATACAATCAAATTACTATTTGAGCTAGCGTTAACATCTTTTTAAGTAATATGTACTACGTATATAAGTAGTATACCTATATATAGATATCTCAACGGTAACTCCTAAAAGCTCAACGTAATTCAACAGATAAGATTCTAGTCAAACGCGCTCGAACAAAATAAATGATCATCGATGAATGTTCATCATATCAGCTTTTAACTGTCCAGTGCTGAACATAAGCCTCCCCCTTGGGAGGGGGTTCCAGTAGTTGCCACGCTTGGCAGGCGGTTTGGCAACCGAAATAATGCTTTGGAGATGTTTTAAGAGGGACACTGCTGCCCATCCCTCGCCCTCCTTAGTCGCCTCAAACGACACCCACGCTAAAGGAAAGGGTAGCCTATTCTGTACCAGGACCACACGTTAAAATGAAGTATTTGTTAATTATTATAAAAGAGAAATTTTAATCGATTTCACATTAAGTACGTTTTTACAACCTAAATTTCCGATCCCTCGTCCAGATTAATACGTACACAAAAAAAAAGCATACAACAGATGACAAGTTTTATAACAACCTCATAAGCATTGTCAGAAGTATCGCTGTCTCGCTCTGTCGGTGTATGAAATCCCATCGTTAATGGTCAGGTAGCTAGCTGCTACCCGTAGTCATCTCTTAGTTCGCGCTTAACTTTCGACTGATTTAAAACGTTCAATACTAATCAAATATAGTATTCACTATTGATATATATGTTACTTCAATATTGTAAAGTGATTTTGCAATATACATATACGGATTACTTGTTTTGAATAAATAAAAAAAAAATTGTGTATGATTGTTTATAGGTTAGGAAGTGTGTTAATTGGTGTAAATGAAAATTGTTGTTTTAAGTGTTTTTTTTTTTTCAAAGTTATATGTATGTGTGTGTTCTCTTACCAAATAGTTAGTTTTCTGTTCCTTAAAATTGGATTTCTGGTCAATGCCCTTGGAGTTCTTTCTTCTTGAATGGTATTTATACATATATTAATTGAATTAATTATGTTTTAATGTTTACTACATATGTACACGTATTAATATATTGGACCAAAGGTATACTTGTGTAATCTTAGATACCATATGAAATTAACTAGAAAAGTAATTACTTATAATCAAATGTCAGAAAGAAAGTTTAATCAGAGGATTAAAACTACACTATCTTATTATTTGTTAAAAAATAACCTTCAGATAAATGTGATAAATTTGAATGTTCTATCTATTTAACTGATATAATTTAATCAGACTTAACTATTAAACCTTATCTATTAAACAGTACAGTTAAAGTAAATAGGAATGGTGTTTTTATATCTACATCCTAAATTAATAATAAAACTATATAAATAATAAACTTAGACTTAATTAAAATTATATATGTACGTAAAAGCCTATGTTCAGCAGTGGACAGACAGGCTGTGATGATGAGGTTAATACTGTACGTACAATACGTATAATACGTACTCATTGTAAATGCATAAATAATCAGTTATATTAATTGACCTTTTTGTATATTTTATCAATAGTTAAAATAAAACTATTTTATTTTTATATTTCTCTCATATTTTATTAAAACATGTCTTTTTCTCTCTTTCCAGATGCAAACACAAGATGAACCGGCAATTCGACCATAACACGTGAAACCTAACATACTAACCCACAAAACAACCCACAAACATGACGTGGAGACCACCACGCGACTCGGAACCATTAGAAAAGACAATTTCAACCAAAAGGCGGAGTTTACAGGATCTCAAACCCTTACTAGAGGACAGAGGAGGTATAAAAACAAGAAATGTCACGCGGAGTGACTTGGATTGCGGTAGGAGAGCGGAGGAGACGTGTAGCAATAATAGTCTTTACGGCGTAGACAATAAAGTTAGTTTTGCAACTGTTAGTGTTTGCCGAAATACTGTGAAGTGTAACACTAGGTTTGCAAGTGGACGGTGCTTTAGTAGGTTTAAAACAATTGTGTTTGTGTTATTAGTGATCTGTTTGAAGTCGAGGCTGTTGGCTGAGGCGAGAAGTTCAGGTAAGATATTATATTAGTCTAGATTTCTTTTTTATTTAACTTAATATTGCAAACTAGCTGACAGTTCACCTGATCGTAAGTGGTAAGTGTTGTCTAAAAACAAAAAATACCATGGATATTGCTAATGTAATAATGAGGATTAAAGCTTGCTCCTCCACATAAGGGAAACAAGGTTTTTGCCTGCTACTTTTTATACATGGATTTCAGATATAAGAAAAACAATGAAATAAACAACTTTCAGATTTTGAATGATACTGTCAGGAAAACAATTGTGACAACCGCATCCAATTTAGTGCATTAGTTTTTGTGTAATACCAGAACAAACATATAAATAAATAAAATTTCTAAAAAATATTGTTTAGTGTTGTCAGTCACACACTAATGGTAGTGGAATTAAACAAAATAATTATTCAAAATAGTTCTAAACAATTAACCAGTAGTATTGATTTGGCTTGTATGATTCTTATTAAGATAAATTACACAAATAATCTTAATTAATTCAATTTTATTATATTAAGTGTAAAATGCTGTATAATGTACATAACAGTATATTACAAAAAAGCAGGATATAGCCAACTAATATATTATATATATATATATATTGATCTATAGTATATTGATCATTTATAGATATCCCCTTCATCTTTTATGATATATTGGACATAAAAACGAGGGTATTATATTGTCATGCATTTTTACTTCGTCACTACGTGAATGACATCATTCTACATATATATTTTATACGCACTTAAAAGGATAATAACAATTTCGATATCACCCCTATATTAAATAGTATACCTTAAAATATACCTCTAAATATATATATGTGTGTGTGTGTGTGAGTCATATATATGCAATAATAAAAATACTTTTATTAACAAACTTCAGAAAACGGAGAATCTCAATTCGGTTATATTTTTCCTCATGTTTGTTACATCATAACTCCGTCATGTGTAAACCGATTTAGAAGATTCTTTTTTTAAACAAAAGAATGTACTTACAGATTGCTCCTTCATAGAAATTTTGTCAATATCGGTTCAGTAGTTTAGTTTTTAAATCAAAATAACTTGTTTTGAACAATTGAAGTAGGTTTTTTTTGTCACATTCATTTGTTGTTATTCGTTTACCGGAAATATTGTTGGGATCTGTGACGCATTTCTCGGACGTGGCCATCGCCTGCTGAGCATATAATTGGCTATATCACGTCGAAAATTGAGTAATATTGTAGTGAGACATGTCTTTGACCCTTCTGGTGTGGTAGTTATTTGTGGTAGTCCGATGGTCGCAAATTCTGTCCCCGCATAATACAAATATTTGGGGGAAAAGGATTGTTAGTAATGGGGAGGTTAATCCCCATTGCTATCAATATACCCTATCAAGTCGACCTCCACGCAGTTTGCTTTGGAAACCATCGTGACTAATTTATCGTTGAATTCCTCACGATGACCTGCCTTTTCATCCTCAACAATGATCCCTTACTAGTGCTCCGCCAGTGTATACCAATGACGCAAGCAGGCCTATCATTCCATTATCATCTATTAAAAAAAATGCAAACACTTGTTTTGCATGAGTACAAATATATATTTGTATAAATTTTTGTGTTATCTATGTATAATATGTATATGTATATACAAAAAAGTACGTATTTAGGTGTGTTATCTGTAAGTGAATATTTTCAGGAAAAAAAATCCAAATCGGTTTACAACTGACAAAGTTATAAGGTAATAAACATAAGAACCCCTTTTTTTTGGAAGTCGGTTCAAAAGTTTAATCGTACTTGGCCAACCAAATATAACACCAAGTAATTCTGCAACACAACTAAATAACATTACGTACGCATTAGTTAAACCAAAACGAATCGAATTCGCAAAAAAACGTTTATCATAGTCCAACGTGGAAATAAACAAATTGGCAATTTTTACCACTCGTCATCAGTCACCACCCACTGCGATTCGTTTTATTTAACTCAATTATAAACATCAAGATATTAGTACCACAGATAAATTTGTTATTAAAAAAGTTATTCGTTCGATTTTCAAATTATTTTGTTACTAGTTTTTTTACCCACGACATCGTATATGCTATATATATATATATATATATATATATATATATATATATATATATATATATATATATATATATATATATATATATATATATAACATCTGCTGATTTGTTGTCATTTAAAAATTTGTTCAGAAAAATAGTACAATGAGGTAATGAGGTAAAAAACTAGTGTTTTTTGACTGTTTTGTATTTATGTATTTAATAATGTCGAGTGTTGTAGTTATTAATAACGAGATATTTCTTATAGTAGTAATTATTTTCAATATAATGTAGATTGAAAATAATTAATTATATTAAATTATTATTGTTATTTAATTAACGGGCAAACGTAGTGCAGGACGACCCAACTAGATGGAGTAATGACCTCAAATGCATTAAAAATTTTTTTTTCCCCAGAAAATGGTTGCTTGTAACAAAAAAAAAAACTTTGCAATCGCATTATCCTATTAATATATTAAATTCAAAAATGTGTAACGATGGATGGATGGATGGATGAACTGATGTTTGTTACTCTTTAACGCAAAAACTACTGAACGGACTTGAATGAAATTTGGTACACGTATAGGTTATATCTTAACTTAACGCATAGGATATTTTATGTACTGACTCATGTAGACAAAGCCACGAGATACATCTAGTCTTATATATTGCTAAAAAATCAAATTAATGGCGTAACTTAATATGCAAAATAAATACAGACAAATTGAGCACTTTCCTCCTTTTAAGACGCTTAAAATAGGGAAAGCCTAGTGGATAATCTAGTAAAATACATTAATCATCACTTGACAAAAAGCTGAGTCACAGTTAATTCGGTTCAACCGAAAATTAACGTGAATTAACACAATAGATACAAATGAGTAAACCGCAAATTTAGACACACACAAAAAAAGTTATTCGTTAGTAAACTTGAATATGTTTACGGTATGTAATGACTAACATCTTGGTATTAACAATATTTGAAAGGAAAACAACCGAAAAACACTACCCACCTAACTATTGTATGGGAGGGAGAAAAGGGATTGTTAGTAATGGACTGAGAATCCTATTGCTAGCAATATACCCAACCAGGTCGACCTCCTCGCGGTTCTCCTTGGAAACTATTATGGTTAATTCCTGATGAATTCATCATGATGGGCTAACTGGCCTGTTTTCATTCTCACCTATCACCCTTCACTGATGCCTCGCCAGCGTATCCCGTTAGCGCAGGCGGGGTTACCCTATCATTTTCACCAAGCAAAAAAAAAACTATTGTATGGGAAATATTTTACTATTTGAGGGTTGCCAATCGTCCTGTTTTTTCCAGACACGTTCTGTTTTTTCGAATATCCTGAGATGTGATAGTTTTTCAGCAGCGTTCTGAGTTTTTAAAGCGTTCTGGCGTAAGGTACCTAATGGGTTTTTAAAATTCAGTCACATTTTACAATTTCGGAATATTTTTCAAAAAAATGTGTATAATTTTTTTATAAAAAAATAGATTTTATACTAGAATTGCATTTAATCTATTTTTAATCAATTATTGCGTAAACTTATATCGTAGTTTTTATGTTACTATCTTATTTATAAAAAGTCTAACCTCTCATAAACCTGTTTTAGCTTGTGCAGGTGGCTCAGGACCGTTCTTTATGGCAGTCTATGGGGGAGGCTTATGTCCAGCAGTGGACGGATAATGGCTGAGATGATGATGATGATCATTGTATTGTTTATTAGCTTCAATAAATTAAAAAGGAAATAGTGTAAATAAATAAATTAAGGATATATACAGTAGACAAACTTTTCGGTTGTGTTTATCTAATCTATTTTTTTTTGTCTACCTGCCCTTGCAGATTGCTAGTATGATAATGTACATATCTTTTCCCGTTATTTCGTACGCGCGGATTTCAGATGTAAGAAAGCTAATAAAATGACTACTTTTAGATGGCGTATCAAAATAAAACATCTAAATTTTTAAGTTAGACCTTCAAGAACGTTAAAACCGCATTACATATTTTTTTCCTATTAAAACCGCTTACATTTTTTTTATATCTTCCATATACAAACATCGTCCGTGTACAAATTTATTACATTAGTAATATTTTACTGTGCAAAATACCTAATTAGATCATAATAAATTATTGAATATGGAATCGACACGAGAGCAAAATAATTGAATGTACATGTACTACGTAAAGTAAGTTAATATAAATACATAATAACTTCAATTAGCAATTTTTATATATTGCAAAAAGAATTATTAAAATTGGTTTGAAATGGGCAAAGATCGCGTAGCAAGCTAATTGAAGATCCTTTTTATGAGTCGTTTGAGAGTAAAACAAACACGAGATGCTAAAATTGGGGTAAGTGATGAGAATATGTAAAAATACCATTTCACCAGAAGTTTGACAGCAATTTACCCAAATGACGTCACTAATGCAGCACTTAACGCAGCAATATCACAGGTAATGCCAATAAAGTTTTACCACTGTATTCATATTTTTCAGGATGACTGTACCGTCACACAAAGAAACAACAAACTCGGGCGGTCTTAACTGTTATTATAATGGAGTTTGGCTGTTTGTTTGTAATATCGCACCTCAAAAACAACTTCGGGTAATACCTTTTGTATTATGCCATATTTGCCGTTATTCTAAGGGTTGACACCTACAGAAATCATGATGTCATAAACCAAGTTTTGCAACCATTGTAATTATATGAAATGTTGCGCATCGGATATAGAAAAAAATCTCTTATGATAAATAGTAAAATAACTAGTGCAAATCTTTCAACTACTTTCCTATTTTGGTGAAATATATAAAACTTTTTTTATTTAGATCTCTAAAAAATTCAAAATCAATAACTATCAATCGTGAGTTTCAACTTAAATTTCCTTTCCTTTGAGTTTAATTTTGAAAGTTTTGGACGTCGAAGATTCTATGCGGATTGTATTCAGGGTT